ATGTGGAAAAATTTCATTCTTCACATTGAAATAGTTATAGACACTTACTTAATTGTGTTTATCTTTGTATAATAAGTATTTTGTAGTGCTCACAGTATTATTTCTCATTTATAATTTGTTTCTTTTTTTCAAAATCCCACATGAGAAATATTCGAAATACGAGGTAATTTCTTTAGTTATTAAAATAGGGTTCCGCCAAAAAAAATATCGTCAATTAGGGTTCCGATACCAAAAAAAATTGGGAACCCCTGGTCTAGGGATACATTAGACGCTCATGATTTCATGTGGATTGGTATCCTCCTAAATTCGACAATTTCGTTTGTTCACGTTCACGATGGAAATTTGGGTCAGTTGCCTACAGTCCTCTCGGTGGGACGATCATGGCGACTGTAAAATGGGCGAAGCGCGCGGTACGTTGCCCGAACAGAACACCCATGTTGATAAAACCTTGGCATGTGAAAATGTTATTTCACCTCTATACATATTCAGATGAATCCTAAGCAGACATTGATTAAACTTCTGGCGTTCTTACTACAATACTCAATGCATGTATGTTGAAGTTACGTTGTGATTGAATTTTTGTTTGTTTTCAGTTGATTCATAGTAACATCGCTGAATATTTCAACATAACAAACCACTTCTGGCAGAGACACTTGCTTTTTGTACTTTGCAGTGGATACCTCTTGCAGGAAAAATTCTTCTCTCCTGAGACTTGTTCACCTTATTACAAAAAGATGATAGATGCATGTACCAACAACGTGTAAGTATGGATTTTTAATAATCATCAGCAACAGTGTCAACAATTATTATTAGATATCTGTAGTTCAATTTATAGGATCGGTTAACTACAGAGTGAACGTAAACCCTCCCTTTTAACTTTCAATCCGTAGATATAAGAATCGGACAAATTTTTTGTAAAATAGAATCATTCAGGTTTTTTTTGGTAAAGAAAGCCAACAGTGTCAGAATTTATCATTAGTTTTCTGTAGTTTGATTCATAGGGTTTTGCACTTCGAAGAAAGGTCCCATAACGTAGTACAATGATACCTCATTTGAGAGAGCAGTAGTCGTTATTATACATGAAAAATCAAGGAGTTGATTCAGTAGCAGAGGTATTACTCACTACTGTAATTACTAGACATGGAGTATCTTAAGAAAAGCATTTTCAGTAAGGACGCGTACGTATAAATCGTAACTCTTGTAGGAAATCCGGAACGGTGTCACTATTATTATTATATATACGTATCTTAGTGAAACGTCTATGGGATTTTAGCTGAGTCACCAGTGAAATAATACGTCATTAACTGTCTACAAACACTTGGTAACCCTATCGCTATTGCCGTGTTTGTTTTGCTCAAATAAAATTTGGCAGCTGCTGCCACCAGATGCGAATTTCTCCACATCTAGTTTTGGATGTTAGGCAAGTCCGAAAAAGGCTTGAATTCCGCCTCCTGCACTTGGAGGAGGTCTTTCGTTACAGATCTTGAAAATTCGCAGACACTTCCTTCCAAGAGGTTACTATGATAGATTTTGAAATAAAGGTCTGCTTAAAACCTTCAGAAGATACTATACTGAATATAGCAACAAGTAAAAAAATACATGAAGACAATCAAAGAAAAAACACACGAGAAAAATTTAAAAAAAAACCATAACCAAATCTCAAAAAAAACTGAAACTCAATATTTATGACAGGAGAGTGACGAAATACTCTAACTTGGCCGAGGATTTCTGACCGCTAAATATCTATAAGGCAATTATTAGGTCCACTCTGTATACAAATTCATTATAGCTAACTCCTCAAAATCATAAAGTGGTTAGCACACATGTATATTAAAACTCTCCATTGCCTTGTTCCTGCTCGTCCCCTATTTGACTTTTGCACTACATGCTCGATTTTCGCTCAAACCTTACATGGTCATTTATTCCTATGTTAAAATAAAAGACTACCCAAAATCGCGCTAACCGCCTGTTTTTCAAGATTAAACAAAATACCGCCCTTGATTGACCGTCAAGAGCCGAGAATACCTACCACAGAGAAGCGACATTAACGTCGGATCCTTTGATGTTCGGTGTCCCAACTCCGAACCGAAGATTTTGAGTGATGAACAACCTGGTTCACTGAGAAAAATGACCTCTCAGCGATATACACTAATAAAAATACATACTCTCATTATGTTTGCTCAGTGCTCACAGACTAATCGAGACAACTAAGCCCGAGAATGACGTAGAGACAACCAAGTCGACGCATGCGTCTACGAAAAAGAGACACAAAATGGCCGTCTTTGTCGCTTCTCTGTGGTAGGTATTCTCGGGTCAAGAGAACCCTTTAAACACCCAAGTTTTCGAACCTCCTAAAAATTCACGCAGACTTACTTTCCAAAAAAGTTTCGCACCACTCTAAAACCGCTGCATCAGGCGAAGATCTCCCAGAACTCTCTGTCTTTTCTCCTTTCAAAAACCAGGAACAAATCACGGATTCATTGGCTCGTTCTTTTCAACCGCCGCCCACCTGCAACGAAGGTCATCAAAAAAACCTATTTAGCTGAATTGACGAAACATTCAATGCTGGGATATTTGGTATGCCCATATTTACATCTTGAGCTACGTGACAAATATATCTGACTCGTCAAAACACTCCGATGAATAGTGTTTATAAACATCGAGATGACACATATGACCACATTCAATCACCAATAAATCTAACAAGATCTACCATTTTGATTGTGGCAGATCTACTTTCAGGCCATTTTAATGTCATCTGTTTTTGTTGCTCCATATCGCAATAAATATATGATATTCTACTGTTTCTTGATAAATAATGATTGATAAACAATTTTGTACTCTAAACATTGATTCTGTTAATTTCTTTCCAAATTTAAATTTTCTGCTTCTTTTCTGCTTATTACTATATGATGTTATTGAGCGATTTTCCGTCAACTTTTCCCTACTAATTCAGTTTGAACCAGAGCGCTCCCGAAACGCCTAAAAAAATTGACCAGGTATTTGCCAACAATAGTGTTAATAAACGAACTGTTCGACGTTGGTTTACGAAATTTCTTTTCGGAGATCCAAGACAACGAGAATTCGAGAACCCTGGTGGAGATTGATCCATCACAAACAGTGCGTAGGATGGCGGAAGAACTGGGTGTCAGCGCTCATGCAATTTTTGATGTTATTTTCCGAATGGTCTGCAGGTTTTATATTCAATAACATCTTATCTGCTCGTGTAGTTATGAAATACCCAAATTATATTTCAATTTCCGTGTAATTTATAATAATTTCTTGAAAAAATTAAAAAGTGAAGAAAAAAATACCTAATCAATGTTTTTTTTCATTATTAATTATTGAACTTGATAATGAACACAATGTTGGTGAGCTGCTGTACTTGTTGGTCGTTTATTCAGTTTTGTAGATTTGACGTATTGTTCATAACGAAGATGATCGACGCTGTCCACAAATTTGGGCCATAAGTGTTATTGAATAGATAGATATTTAATCAATCAAAAAAATCATCAAATATAATGTAGTAGCTGATAAAAAATGAAAATTATTAATAATTATGTATTCATCAAATAATTAACAAACTTCATATAGCTTTTTTTTGACCGGGACTACCGGCTGACCTTGAATGATGCTCTAACCGCGCGATCTACACTCTCTATCTCGAAAACGATTCAACATATGAAAATATTTCTGTAACGAAAGTTGTAGGGAATTCAATCCTCTACAATATTGATGTCGATTACAAATAGCGAAACCCCATAGCAAACGAGATATTTGCAAAAAATGTGTAAAAAATCGATTTTTGTGACCTTTGAGTCTACATTTTGATAGTTGCATACCTAAACTCCACCATATGTATACAGGGTGTAACTAAATAAGTGTGAAACATTCAAGGAGGTGATTCCTCAACGAAAAAAAGATAGGATCTTTCATATAAAGAAATTTCATTGGAGCATCCCTTTGTTAAGATACAGCCCCCTCAAAGGGGGTACATAAATTTTTTCACAAGCACTAAAAAAGTTACAATATTGAAATCAACCTGACGTTTTGTACTACCAAAAAGACACTTAGCCAGAAAATTTATTTCCAATTAAACTTTTTGTCTTATTATTTGTTTACCATTTAAAAATGTATTTCCGATAGCCTGTTTCATACTAAACAAAAAATGTCTCCTGAGTTTTTTGCCCAAAATAAACCAGTTCACAGCAAAAAAATATTTTAGGAACAACTACAGAGGTACATCGTCATAAATGCGAAAATACGAAACTAATCTATCTAGTAGGTCGCCATAGTGACAATTAAATTGGTATGACGCTGTCAGTTTGTGAATTTTCGAAATTGAATTATTACTAATTGTGTGTTGTTGTTCTGTTCTTAATTTGTTACTTTAATAATTCGCTTGTTATTAAAATGGCATACACAAATGAGGAAATGGCTGATATGCATTACGTTTACGGTCTGTCGCAGGANCATTGGAAATAAATTTTAGGGGTTGCGTTTTCCACCCCTTACAACCATGGGGTAAACCAAATAAATTACTGGCTAAGTGTCTTTTTGGTAGTACAAAACGTCAGGTTAATTTCAATATTGTAACTTTTTCAGTGCTTGTGAAAAAAATTGTTATACAAATTTTATCTACCCCCTTTAAGGGGCTGTATCTTAACGAGGGATGCTCCAATGAAGTTTCTTTATATGAAAGATCCTATCTTTTTTTCGATGAGGAATCACCCTCTTAAATGTTTCACACTTATTCAGTTACACCCTGTATTTTAAGATAACTTTATGAATGTGAAAATACAAGTTTCTGCGAGTTTATAGCCGAGTATCCCAAATTCCGAGAAACTTACCTAATTTTGACTAAGATGACTGGACCAATGATACGAAAATTCACGTTCCAACAAACGATATTATGAGAAGTTTTGTGAGCGACGCATCCTCCTATGAATGATTTTGTTCTTTTTTTTTTCAATTATCCTGCAACTTCAATTCTCTTTTCAGGTTATAGAAACACTTCTGAGAAAAATTAACATCAACGAAAAGTGGAATACTTTAATTTTCGCTAGTATAAGTGGCCTTTTAATGCATATGATGGCGAATAGAAGAAAGAAAATCGACTTTACTTATTTTTGGTGAGATTTTTGATATTAGATCTGCATCTGCTGTTTACAAAAATAAACTCAATTTTTAGGATCTATACGCCGCCTAATATGAATGATTATGAAAAAAGTGATAGTTGTTGTAGTCATGATAACACTTGTCCAATTTATTTAAGTGAGGTGATTTTCAAAACATTTTGGTAACCGATTTCATTTGACTGGATAATGTTTCAGGGATTTCTCAAATATTTCTCGCTTGGATATGCTGTGAATGCCATTAAAAGTATCTTGCCCAGAATAGGAAACCTGGTAAAAAAACCTTCAAGCTTAATGAAAATATTCTTCAGTAAATCGAATTTATACTTGGGATTGTTCATAGGAAGCTACGTAGGATTCTACCGGGTAAGAAAATTTGGAAATTTGTATTGAAAGAATTTTCCACTAATTCACGCTTTGTGTTTCATCAAAATGGGCTTGTTTCATGATTTTTGGTTTATAGTTCACTTGAGAGAAGTTTTAAATTGAAAAACAGTGCACTTTGTTTCATCTCTCTAAATACCGTAGTTTTCCCGTGATTAATTATTAAAAATGGAATGTGGTAGGGTGGTGACGTCAAGCCCCTATTCCCGCGTCTTGTTCGATTGACCAATAGAAACAATAGAAATAATCAACATTGCCAAATCGTGAAATTTACGAAGCCTATAATCATCAATTTAATTATGGAAGTGTATATGAACCCGTTAACGTTTCAATTAATGAAAAATTCTCCACATGGAATAAAATGTATACGAAAAATAATGTTTGCAAATAAGTTCTATATCTAAAATCAGTACACAAAGTCGATAGATCACAAAATATTTACCTAAACAATGATTTATGCATTATTCAATAATATACAGTTATGAAAATCAAANAGTTACACCCTGTATATCTAAGACACGACTTACAGAATAACATTATATAAATTCGGGATTCTTTAATTATATTTGTTCGCGGAGTGTTGAGATAAAAGGTGACACTATTCTAGGAACATGTTCTAAGAACCCAAAAATTCAACATATGTAACAATTGATAGCAGGTTATGATATTGTTTATGGACTTGAAGAAAAAAAGGAATGAATATTGACCATGTGCACTCCCTTTGCCAAAAACAAGCACATTTTGCTTCTCATGGAAAAACTCAGTTATTATTCGGACTCACCCACAATCTTTTTCAATGTTTTTTTCAGATTCTGACTTGCTATCTCACCAGAACTTCTAAAATCAAGAAGAAATTCCATGGTTTCATAGCTGGACTTTTCTCTGGAATAACATATTCTATTTCTCCGAATATCCAGATTGTTGCTATTGCGATGAGCACTCTTCTCCAGGTTTGTTGATTTATTTAAAATTCAATAGAATTAGATTTTCATCCGAAGTTGATGACGTCAAAAGTATAGGGTCTTTCAATTCTATATTTAAATTTAAATAAAACAAAGTGTATGTGAGATATCATCAAAATTTTTCATTTCTTTGAAAAACCTATTGATGAATGTCCGTAAAAGTTGCAGCAGTTCAGTGTTTCAATAACATCATATCTGATCGAATTCATAATATTTCAGATCATATTGAAGATGAATCAATTTGAACATTGAAAGATACTGAGATGTTTGCTTTACAACTTGACGAAAGTAGAGGTGTCGCAGGGTTATCAGTACTGCTGGTTTTCGTGAAATACCCCTTCGAAGGATCGTAGAAGAAGATTTGTTTCTCTGTACACCCTTGGAGACCAACACAACAGGAGAATAAATTTATAAAGTCTTTGATAATAATATGACTAAACACCATATTGACTGGAACAAATGTACTGATGTGTGCAGCGACGGAGCTGCAGCTATGGTCAGCAAAATAAAAGGAACTGTAATAAGAATAAAGAATATTACACCCAATTGTAGTAGCAGTCACTGCGTTCTGCATCGCCATGCCCTTGTCGCAAAAAATATGCCATCGGCCATCGATCAAGCCCTCGATCAAGCCGTACAAATTGTTAATTACGTTAAATCACGTCCACTCCAGTCGAGGCTTTTTAAAAAAGCGTGTGCAGAAGTAAAGAGGTTGGAAGTCAGCATCAATCACTTTTGCTACACACGGAAGTAAGATGGCTTTCAAAAGAAAAAGTTTTATCAAGATTATTTGAATTGCGCAACGAGCTTACGATATTCTTTACTGAACAACTCATTTTTGTATTTGTTAGTACGCTTGTTGAACTATTGCATGATGAGCAATGGTTGATGAAATTGATGAAATTGATATATTCGATAAACTCAACGTAATGTGCCAGTCCCTACAAGGAAGAACGGTAACCACATTTACAGTGAAAGACAAAATATCATCTTTTAAAAACAAAATTTGCTTCTGGATATAATGTATGGAACAAAAAAATTACCAATGTTTTACTGTTTTGAATAACTTCCTGGAAGAGAATGAGTTACGAATAACCTCAGATGTGGAAAAAAACATAATTGAATGAATTGAAGGAGTTATATTTTTAGGAGCGATTAATTTTTGGGAAAGAAAGTCTTTGGCTTTCTACTACTCCATCTTGATGCAAAAAAAGGGATGAGGAAATTTTCCAAAGAAAGGAAGGAAGTAATCAATTTGAAAATAAGTAACTCTATACATGGATGTGTAGATCATGCAAAGAAGTAACTTTCAGACACAAACTGAAAGAAAGTCCTCCTGAAACAGCTACTTTTCTCTACTCAGTTTGTATTTCAAACAGTCGTTGTGGAATAAAAATCAGATATCATTCACATAGAGTCCAAATTCATTGACGAAGACAGCTCCACCATTTACGTCCAGGTCTTCACTAGATTAAAACCTGCCTCCAGTAGTTGATGGTCAAACCCTAGTTGTAGCACGGCGGGGTCAAGAACTGGAAATACTCCATAACATTCCGAAGAGTAACCAGAAAATTCATGGAAGTATACTAGAGCTAACGAAGAGCAAACTTCAACGACAGCCGTGTTAACCATGTAACGAAAAGGAAAGGAAAAGGAAAAGAGGAAGGAAAAGGGAAAGGAAAATGGAAAGAGAAAGAGAAGAAGAAACGGAAAGATGAAAAGAAAGAGGAAGGCAAAGGGAAAGACAGCAAGCTCATACAAACTATTTATGATTTGAGTAAGACGTACCGGAAAATCAGATTCTCCAAGAAAAGGCCTTGCTACACCTGCAGAAAGCAAGGGCTGGAAATGACTGTGGCCACAATAATCTGCAGAAGAAATCAACCGATGGAATGTTCTTGAGAAGATCCAGATCGTCAACTCCAGAGAGAATGTAAAAACTACAACCCGAAATAAGACGAAGTTCTTCAGAGACAAATGAACCCAATGAATATGTATTTCAATATTGATGAGATTTAAACGTATTCTGGTATTGAAAGAATCAGTTCAGAAGCTGCAACTCTGGAGGACAAAGAAATTTTGAAACCTATATATGCTGCAACCGTAAGATCGGATTCAATGATAATAGGAAGTGATGATAATGAAAATGTTTTGGAATTGGTTCGAAACTGGCTCACAAATTGATTACGACCTGGTCAGGGCTTCACTGGGCTCAGTGCAATATACCTCGCGGCGTAGGTGGAGAACACAGAACACATCAAAGATGTACTTGAACAACTCCATAGTAGTCGAGCAGAAGGACGTTTCGTCTTCAATAGGCACTGGAACAAGTTCGACTGGGACACTACAGAGTCAGTTGTCTCCAACTTCAGACTACTTTGTTTCGACCCACCATAGATATCATCAGTAGTGGACCATGAATGCTTCGCTGGACCCAACTGTCCTTTGAAGACAAGCCCGAGTGAGTTTAGGCAAAGATATATCCTTGCTGTCGCTTACACTGCAAGGCAATTATTAGAAACCAGAGCCCCGAAACAAATCTATCCTGATTCAAAACCAGAGAGTGATATTTCGTGCCAGCATATATCTGAAAGGTGATTCTAGTGGTGAACTACGTATGCATTATTTGACTCCACTGTCTTTGAATCACAAGCCTATTTATATGAAGTCTATGGCATTTCCTTCTCAAAAACATGTCATCAGAGGGATCGGCCTTGACTTACGAAGGATAATGTAGTCGCACTTTGCGCTTCGAAAAAGAGTCCCAATGAGTTGTTGATTATATAGTGACTGTTACACTTGATTGAGATTTTCAAAATCTGCTCTTCAAGCTTCTCCTCACTTTGATCTCCTTGAAGATGATTGGGGAGATCAAACAGTTTGATCTTCCTCTTGAAGATGATCACTTGGTGATCGAAACACGTGTCGAGGTGTTAAAATAACTGTTTGGTGTTGGGGAAAAAACTCCAGTAATATTCATCACTTCACCAAAGGTTCCAAACAGTGCATCACAAGTTGTCTAACTGATCCTGATGAACTAAAGTCTATGAAATGCTTTTGTTGCAAACATGATGAGTGGCTGCTTATTTTTATTCTAGGTTACTCATCAAAATTATGCGGCAAATAATACAAACGATCTTTTTCAATATTTTTCACAAGATATATTGAATGAAAGTTTCATAGTTCAAACAGAATCATTCGTATAAATAACCATTTCACACACATTTTCCAGAAAAGTGCTAGGGAAAATTAACTACTACACTCTGCTTTTTGTTCCTGGAATGGTATCAGGACTGTCGCTTTTGGTGGAGTCTAGGGAGAACCAAATATTAGACACGCTTATATTTTTCAATGCGGTAAGTTTTTAGAAGGTTCAATGTTTACATTGTGCGTAGTTGATCATGATAAGTAGTTAGCAAGTAGACCTCATCTCAGAATAAGTAGCTTCAAATAAGAAACTGCAAACGCGTGTAATTGTTCAAAATATGGTTGAAAATGAGATTTTAAAATTCCGAATGATTGCGATGCCTGGAAAAAAATGTATTCGAGGTCAAAGGTCAAAAATCTAGAAAAAAGTTGGTTTTTCGCGATTTTCAGGAAAACGGTGAGTTTTATCATAAAATAACTTCAGATACAAATTGTAGATCATAAAATTCTGTACAGAAAATGTATCAATACTTTTTTTCCTTTGAGTGTGTTAGGAATCACACGTTGAAAGGTAAGACCTCGTTAGTCCTTAGCTCGCACAAGTTTCTCAACTTCTGAGAGTAGTCGTTCATATGGAAGTGACAGCTGATTAACGGAAAACAGATTTTAAGCCGATTTAAACAGATTTCAAACAGATTGATAGTAGAATTTTGTTTACACGTTTGAAGAAGGATTTGAATTATTTTTTAATCAGAAAGATCATCAATATTTTGAACAATTCGAGCACATATTGGGAACATTAATAACCATGTGGTTCACTGGGTTTCAATATAAAAATTCCACATTTTTCAGATTTCTTACGCACTATGCAAACTGCCTATTCGGATAAAATAATAACCAGTTTATTCGCAATTTTTCCCTGTACACCCCTCTTAGAAATAAAAAAACGATCTTACAAATAGATCCGAAATAGATTTCAATAGTGTTATTTTTAGTGTTATTTTAGTGTTAGTGTTATTTTTTCAATCAATCTATTCAAGTTTTTTGTTTCAGGACCCAAGACATATATAAATCATTGATTCATAGGTTTTTTGGAACTTCCTAATGATGGTGATACGCTGAAGAAAAGCTGAACGAGAAAAAATCTATAGTTTTAAAATGAGATTGAAACTACTTTCAGCTGAAAAATATTTCTATAGGTTTAGGATATTTCATAATATCTTTCAGTTTCAATTCAGTCTCTGGTAGTGTTAGTTTGTCAAACTACTATATAAATCATTTATTTAGCAATGAAACTGTCTCTCTTGGTTTTCTTAATATGATCATCATGGCTCGGTTTTGCTGTTTTTGTAATCTATTCATTTCATTTTTATCAGCAGTATATATTATCGATGCACAAAATGTAAAATGTGGTAATATAAGTGTGTTATATATTATAATTTTTGTAGATTTTGTAAGTATTGACGAAATCCTTCCTAGAAAGCTTACATTTCTTGAGATAGTTTTCATTACCTCTTGTACGTGTTCTGTGAGTGTTAAGCCTCTATCAATTAAGACTCCAAGATATTTAGTCACACTAACGGTTTTTATTTCTATATTATCAATATGGATATTTAAATGTCTGCTTTCAAATTCATGATATCCCATTTTATTAGTAAATAACATGAATTTTGATTTATTACCATTCATTGCAAATATCAAATGTTCCACATCATGTGCACAATAATATACAAGTGTGTCATCAGCAAAGAGATGAATTTTACACTTGTCTACCTCATTGACAATATCATTTATATATATATTAGGAATAAGAGTGGTCCTGGTGTACTACCCTGAGGTACTCCGTTGTTATTGATAATTTCACAGGACGTTACATTATTAAGATTTGTTACTTGTCTTCTACTATTTAGGTAATCTTCAAACCATTTATAGACTGTACCGGATATTCCATAGTTTCTCAATTTAAGCAGGAGTCTTTTCCTATTTACTGTCTCAAAGGCTCTTTTCAAATCTAAGTAAACTACTCCTACATTCATATTTTGATCTGTCCACATTTTCCAGTCAAATAAAACACTTTGGACCGCTATTTCGCAATTATGCCCAGTTCTAAAACCTGATTGATTTTCAGTAAGAATATTATTACTATTTAAAAAATTTAACATTTGTACATAGACAACTTTCTCAATTAGTTTTTCTATTGCCAACAAAGTATTTATTGGTCGCATATCACTGGCTTTATTTGTATTCTTTACTTTTGGAACTGGAATTATTTTTGATACTTTCATCATAGATGGAAATGTACCGGTGTGTAGGGAATAGTTGCCAAGGTTTAATAACGGGCCTTTTATATTATGATATACTTTTTTTAGGAATTCCGTTGTTAGATCATCATCGCTTCCTTCATTTTTCATTGTCGACAATATATCATTTAGCTCCTCAAAACTAATCAATTTGAAACCACTCAAATGTTCTTTTGCAGTGTTTTGTATCCTCATTTCATCTTGTGTCTCAATATGTATTTCTTCTACTAATTTACTGATACTTTCTATGGAGTTTGACATAATCAGTATCATAATATAGAATATTCCTCAGTAATTTTGTAATGACAAGAATCAACAGGAAAACCATAAACGAAAGTCATTTACAGAACAATAATTATCAACTTTATTCATCCAAACTTACAATGAAACTAAAAACTAACAAATGATGAGATGAAATTGTGAAATGAAATGCATACTGGCACTACATAAAAGTGAAAAAACGAAAATACATAATCCTTGCAACATTATAGTTGTACAGCCTCAAGCATTGGAAAGTTTGAATAATTTCACGTGAGGCTTCTTTCCGAAACAAAATAACTAGAACGAAAGCAATAACCACGTCTTCACCAAAAACAGATTATTCGTTCGGATTTAGTTGTTCTCAATTCATAGTTTGCACTGTTCAACACCGTAGTAAATTAAAAAAAGAAAAAAAAAAGAATTATTGAATTTTTCCCACAATAAAATCCTTTTCTCTATACTTTTCCGCGTACAAAATTTGTCGGAAGAAGGAATAACTACAGACTAAGTTCAGGATAGTGAAAGTTCGCCTGTAGATTAAAAGCAATGATGGTGGTTATCGTAGTGGAAACAGATATTAATTATAGTTACGTAATGAACAAGTAACGACTTCATCATTCATAACGAGAATTATCGTTGGAAAAAATAATGGGTTGAAGAACCATTGCATGAAAATGTATTTCAAGATAACTTGTTCGACTGATGACCTATTCATTTTATAGAAATTCATATTGAGTATAGGATAGAGAAAATAACCTTTGTCCAATTTCTACTAAGATGAAAAAATGAGAAATAAAGGTTTCTTTGTTTTTGTACCACTTGCATTTGTAACTAACTTCAGTGCAGGTTCATCCTGTAAGGACATTTTCAACGAAGGTCGTTAGTTACAAATACAAGTGGTGAAAAACATAGGAAATTTCATGTCTCATTTTTCACGTAGTCACAGCTGCTCCATAAATTTCTTAAGATTTTTATTAGTTACGGCCAGTTTCGGTTTGTCAAACCATTCTCACTGACGCAGTTTGACAAACAAATCCTCAAATATACAATTATATAATCAATGTCATTCACGTAGGTTAATTAAAACTTGAAAACTTGAAATAACAATCAATTAAAACCGTGTACCTGAAATAACAATTATTCAAAAACCTGTACCTGGAATAACTAAAATGTTACCTGAATCATCAATTACTTATCTGAGATACCAAAACAATAATCATCCAACTTCTTTAACCTATCAAAATTACTAAGTATTGATCCATGTTACGAAAGTTTAATAATTATTGTTATGGTATCTCAGATAAGGTAACATTTTTATTATTTCAGGTACATATTTAATTAAGCGACCTGAATGACATTGACAATATTATTGTATTCTTCAGGATTTGTATCTGTAGAGTAGGGAGGGTGAGGCCCAGAGCTCTTAGCTCACATGTGATCCATTGTACATCCTACCGAGGAGTTGTCCTCCTAGGTCATCGTCCATCCTGTCCTATCCAGGAAGGTGGACAGGTCACTGGGAGACATCTCCATAAATATGTTTCTATCTGTAGTGTTCATCCATTGTTTTACATGGTATTTAAAAGAGGTATAACATTTGATAGATTTGAGGTTTTGTGGCAGTATATTGTATATTATTGGTGCAAGATATTCTACTGAGCGTTAACTGGCTGGCCATTATATCGGCAGGTGTAGGCCAAGACTCGCCAAACACACACTCTCTTATTGACGATAATTCCTGACACTCACATAGATATGCCTGACAGTTTCATCTTCCTGATCACACGTCCTGCATGGAGGTGTGTCCACTAGCCCCATACTATGGAGGTATTTCCTCAGTTGACAGTGGTCAGTCAGAAGTCCTACTGTTAAGCGTAGATTTTTCCTGGTCATCTCCAAATATATCTTCAGCGCCAGCTTCACAGAGTCGCCCAGGGTGATCCTGGCAAGATTGCATACTTTGATTTCATCCTATCTCTTTAGGGATTGAGCATGGGTGTGACGTTTGGCTAGTTCCGCAATTGTCGAAGTCATCAGACCGTAGGTACCACTGGGTCCAGCCGCTGCCTTGGCTGAAGAGTCGGCAATGCGATTACCTTTACTCCTGTCGTGCCCTTTAATTCACCTCAGGATTATATTATTATTTACCGTGGCTTTGGATAAATCTTGGTGGCACTCTAGTACTAGCCCTGAGGTAACACGTTGTCTGTTCAAGGCTAATAGGGCTTGTCTGCCATCAGCGCGGATTATTATGTTTTTTGCCAGAAATTCCTTTCCTGGTTATTTCTTTTGTGGCGATTGAGATACCAGCCAGTTCTGTTTGGACCACGCTGGTATTTTTTCCCATTCCCCACTTGATCCTTAGGCTTAGTGATCTGGAGTACACTCCACATCCTGAGCCTTCTTTGGTTTTTGTAGCATCTGACTCTGTGTTCTGTTTTATTTGTATTTTGTAGGGTTTATTAAACACAAACCTGGGTTCAATTGCATCACTGGTTTCCTGCATCAAGATTTGTTAGTCAAACTGCCAGAGTTTACTTGAGAATGGTTTAATAAACCGAAACTGGTCGTAAGAAACGAAAATCTTAGTGGAAATTAGACAAAAGCCATTTTATCTCTCCTATATAGTGCTTCAAAATCTTATTGGAAACCGAATTCGATCCGTTTTCTATAGTTCATTCTGAAATTCATAAACAACATCAATCAAAGCAAACACAATGCTAAGAAAAATGTATGAAACGTAGTCTTGACCAGCACCATTGTTACCACATACAATATAACTTTCAGTGAATTAGATTTATAAATTTGTGGATGTTCCTATTTGAGAAACACCAAATGACTTTTTCTCCATACCTCATTACTTGTGATGCACTGTTTGGTACCTTTGGTGTAGTAATGAATATCACTGAAGTTCTTCCCAACACCAAATAGTTTTTTTGACACTTCGACACGTGTTTCACTCACCAAGTGATCATCTTCAAGGGAAAGATCATCTTCCTCTTGAAGATGGTCACTTGGTGATTAAAACACATGTCGAGGTGTTGAAAATGACGGTTTGGTGTTATGGTATAACTTCAGTAATATTCTAATCTCATCATGCAAATTATAAATTTTCCCTTCTCTAAGCGTGATCACTTTCAACATGGAATAAATATGTACATTATTGGTTTGATATAGTGTTTCCTTCAGAATATGAAAAGTCATATCTGAATGGAACGAATTTCCAACCAAAAAATCTTTATTCACCTAAATCTATTGTTCTTATAAATAATATATGTCTCGGTGCTATATAAACACTACTTGGCCACTTGCTAATTCCTTGGCCTGTTGTTCTTCGCTGGTACAGGTAAAGCTCCAGGAGGAAGATTTGGGAACTCTCCCTTCTGTTCTCTATTCTTTGGGTTATTCTGTGGTACATTGTCAAACTCTTCTTCCTCTTGTCGTGGGGGTGGGAGAGTACTAGGTACGTCGCAGTCTTCTGTAGGAGGTACCACACACCTCAACGAATTGCGATCGAAAACCAACATGGCGGGGCAACGCTGGAGTCTGGGATAGCCCCCTTGGCACTGCCAGTAGCGGTTGCAGGATTTTCCGAGAGGTACGTTGCCGTTAGGGTCGTCGTTGCAAAGTGCTGGAAGAAAAATGGTGTAAGTTTCGGGTATTGTTGAACGAACAGGTATTCAAATAAATTAGTTAGGTTAGATTAGGTTAGATCAGATTAGGTTAGGTTAGGACCAACCACTAAATTTACATTTGGGGAACTTGAATTGTTTTTGGAGTTTATTTCCAAAAAACTTACGGTGTTTTTGGCATCCAACAACATTGTCTGGCCAGTCACAAGAGTGGGTTTTCTCGTTATATAGGAGGCCCCCGATACAAAACTGCTCAGTAGTAGTTCCATTCCAACAGGTCCAGTATCGAGTACACGACGTTTCGTGACCAAATATGCCATACAACCATTCACAATGTTCGGTTCCAATTGGTGGATCTAAGCCATGAATATAATTATTAGAATAAAAACAGTTTACATGTGAAAGAGATGTATTTTGAAATATTGAATAGATACCAATTATTATGAAGATCATTATTTTGAAATTGAAGGCATTTACTACTCACTCAGTGGCAAATAAGTGTTTGGACAATGAGCATTATATGCTGCTCTCCCCGTATTTTGTGAATGATATTACACAAAAAAACTCATTCTTTCGTAATCAATATCACAATTAGGTTTCAGTTTGTATGAACATTATTCATTATTAGGCAAAATTGAGTTAAAAATATGATAGCGAATAATTTGGTGCCAGAAGTGGGATAATTTTCCTTAGTTACTGCAATTTGGTGTCAGCAGTGGAAAAATATTCTTTACAGCTACTTATGGAAGTCGATCTAATCCTCATTTAGAGTGATAATGATAATAAAGTCACTCACTTGCTTGTTGTTTTCCGGCACAGTAATTCGACCTCCAAGGATAATCGCATCCTTCGGTGACTCCTCTATTCTTTCCTGCGAATACCAGACCATTTGGGCAGTCATACAACTCGGGCTGTCCATCTACACATTCCCAATACCTATCGCAGTACGTAACGTCACTCACTACTCTGGATTTCACCTTACATGGATCTTCCTGGATTTCTTTGGATTGAGCAGATACGTATCCTGAAAACAAGATAAATTTTTGGTGTACCTTCTTTCGAATTGTTATTCAGAATAAACAAATCATGACTGACTAGTACAATTGGTAAGTTCTGGCTAAGCTCTTGTATAAAAGTCAGTTTTTAATAGATGAGGAGTATATAAGTAGAGGAGTGGTTCATCCTCGAAACTTTTCATTGGTCAAACGGTGAGAACCTTTATTCGAAGAATTGAAGAACATAAAAATCATTTTTCAAATACGAAGACCAACTCTACATTTGAGAATTATGTTTTGACAGACAAACCTGAGAGTCTGTGTAAGGCACTCAATCTTGTTAAAAATGCTTTCACAGGAAATGGGTATAACGAAGGAGAAGGGGCATACGACTCAGGAGAACACTAAAGTAACCCCAGCTAGGCTAGTCAAAGGAAAATATTCCCTTCTCTATCTTAATCATGGTACGGTGGCGAATAGAAATCGGGGAATACGGGGATGGTTATCGCCGTCGTGTTCAGTTCAGGAACTGATCGCGATTTGAGTGCTGAAATTCGATATTGGTGCAGTTGTTATTATTTGTTTGTTATCTGTTTAAAATGTGGTGTTCTTGGAGAAGTACTGATAGTAATAACGAGTATGATAACAACGCAGACTTTTTCCATTGTAGTGATTCCAATAGTGATAGTGAACAATGCGAAAAAGAGATACCAGTGAATAAGATTCGGATGAATTTACATATTGAAACACAGAGAGTATGTTTCAATGTATATGAGAATCTACATCTCAAGTTTGGTTTCGAGAGAAACAAGCTATTACAAGCAAACGTCAAATTTAACCGAAACTCCTTTCTCAACTGTACGTAAAAACAAAACTTATGAACACAAGACGCGATATGATACAAGAAGATATAAGAAACTAGGAGTTAGATTTAACAAAATAAACGAACATCAAGCAGTTATGGAAAGCAGAATAATACTAGAATTGCGAAACATTTACTTAAAACAAATAACTAAATATAGACAAGAACATCGTCAAATTTTCTATTTGGACGAAACTTGCTATGACACTCACGATACAGTTACGAAAAGGTGCACTGATGGTTCGAGAATGTGTACGCCTAACATGCCTGCAAACAACTATTCATTGTGCATTGCGGAAAAAGTAAAGAATGGGTTCCGAATTCTTTAAAATTATGTGGAAAAAAAATTTTGGACTGCAATGTTGAGTATCATAAGAACACAGAAGCTAATATTTTCGAGGAATGGTTTGAAAATACATTGATCCCAGATTTGAATACGAATAGTATCATAGTTCTTGACAACGCTTCCTATCATTCGCGACAGCTCATCAAAGTACTGAATAAAAATTCGAGTAAAGATGAAATTCAAGGTTTTTTTTAATGGATAACAATTTGATATTGAAGATTACTATAGCAAAAACTAACTACTTGAAGTTTCACAGACAAAAACATTTGAAAAAGTGTATGCCCTTGAGAGTATGGTATGCTGAAAAGTATGGACACACGATACTGAGACTTCCCCCCTATTTTTGTATTTTCAATCCCATCGAGTTGATTTGGGGAAAATTGAAACAAAGCATCAGGCATAAAAACCTGATCACAAACAAATCCTAAATCGGATGGAAAACAGAAAAGTGCTTTTCTGTCAAATACTTTGGTTTAATTTTATTTCAAATGAGTTCAAAAAGTTAAGAGAAATGGGATTATTCACGTACGAACTGTATATTGCAGTGATATAATAATTTGTATACTGTTGAAAATTATAGAATATAAATGTAAATATTTCCACAAACTAACAAGTCATAATCAATAGTCATATAACTAGAATATCACTCAACATATATAACAATAACAGGTGAAAACACAAAGAATCCCAGTTGCATTACAACCTATCAAAATTTAATTTCAAACCCAAATGTAGCAATTTTTGTCTTATATCAAACTAACGTCTGTATGTTTTTTAAATTAATTCGACCATCAATTCTACCAGTTATTTGTTATGAGTCTTCATCACCAAAAATCCATTATTTCAGCGATGATTCAAAGGATTGAAGGACATTCACAAAGAAACTTCTGGTTCAGAATATTAATGAGTTAGATGTTTGCAACTTTATTTTTCAAATCATTCATGATATCATCTCCTATTACCGAAAAATAATAGCAGTACCGTGTTCTGCTTTTTTTCCCACGATGATTCAATATCTCTGTTGGAAACACCTGGTGTGAATCACGAAACACGAAAACCAGTTTTAAGATCCAACTGAGGGCTCTCGTAGATAGACTGGGTCAATGTGGAGGAATGTAAGAGGAACTAAAAGTAAGAGGAGTCGTGCTAGCCTTGAGCTAGGTTTTATTTACGTAATTTCAACACTGTTTTCAATATGGATTGGTAATGGATAATTATGAGGTATGTGAAAGATGTGTTTTATTTGATACTTTGTAGATTCTGATTCACCCATTAATACCGGGTGTACAAAAAGTCTCAGTACGGTTTAATATCTTCAAAGTAACTGGAGACAGAAAACGAGATTTTGGAAATTACTTATGTACAAAAGAATATCCCTATATCGATGTGACGTTCATTGCATAGTCCTCGTTTGCATAGCAAACGATTCTGCAGAAACTAGAGATCGTGCTACAATGCTCACACTTTCATTTCAGTTATCATTGTAGAAGTACCAAATTAAACGAACTGGTTGACAAATACATTCCAACTTTCCCATTCAGTTTCAAAATTAAAAAAGAAATACTTCAGTGTTCTCTGAATTTATCAAAAACAATTGTGAAATATCTCCAGACCCTGAATACTAGTAATTATGAGTAGTAAATCCCTCTGAACGTCCAATCATTCATAATATTAAGCTATCTGAACTCCCCTCAGAAGGTATTATCAGAGATTTTCTCATTTCTTTTTCTTAATTGTCATATGACAAATGACATATGTCTGTCAGATGAAAGGAACATGAGTTATCTCTCTCTTTTGATCTTTCTTCCTCAAGGCTAACCTCTGGTGGAAGCACGTGCACATTTATGTGGATTTTCGAGCTAAGAAATAAAATAGAATTGCTGTATTTTCATTATCTTAAGGTGGCTCTGTGGTCGTCCGGAGATACACAAAAAAGGAGTTCCGAAGATTATTTGAGAGAAATAGCCAACCTGTTCCCTAGTGATATTGTCGGAATCTTCAAGGCCTGCCTCACGAGAAGTTACTTCCAATGGAGAGGAGCAATTAGACGGCGTAGCGATGAAAAATCCACTCATCCCAGTGTTAGTCAATTTCTTCATGGACAAATTTGAGAAAAAGGCAATCGACGCTCTCGATTTCAAACCAACCATTTGGCTACGATACGTGGATGACTCCTTCGTTATCTGGAGACATGGGAGGGACCTATTTCTAGACCACATAAATGCTCAACACCCTAGCATCAAATTCACCATGGAGACTGAACAGGAACAACGAATAGCTTTTCTGGATGTACTCGTCGAAAGGCGTGGCACAAGACTGACACATAAAGTGTGCCGAAAACCGACACACACGGACAGATATCTGCATGCGCTATCGAACCATCATCCAAGTCAAAATCGGGGAAATATCAACACCGTGACGGAACGTGCCCATAGAATATGTGAACCGGAACACCTACAAGAAGAATTGGAACATCTTCAAGTGGCTTTAAGATCGAATGGATACAGTGTAACCGAGATCAACAAGGCCATGACACTGAAGACTTTCACAAGTCAAAATAGGGAGGAAACTCAAACGGTTGCACGTGCGTCTCTACCGTACATCCCTAGGATTACAAATAGAATAGGGAAAATCCTAAGGAAACATAACATAAAAACAGTGTTCAAGCCCACCAGAAAAATACAGCAAAGCCTGAGATCTGCAAAAGACAAAAGAGATCCGCTGTCAGCTGCGGGGGTATACCGTATACCATGCACCTGCGGAAAAGTTTATATCGGTACCACCAAAAGATTCATGGGTACAAAGGTGAATGAACATCGGAGAAACTGTAGATTAGGTCAAATAAAAAAATCGGCAGTAGCGGAACACGCTTAGTGAAGGAGATCATACGATACTGTTTGAAGATGTGAAACTACTTGCACCCGATTATGGATACCACAGTCAGCTTGTACGGAAAGCCATAGGAATCCGTAAACATACATAAAACTATAACAGAAAAGAGAAGGCGATACCGCTTAACTGGATTTGGAATAAATGATGCTAAGGTGGCAGCAATGCAACGCAATGTAGCAGGTAATAACACTTCGGTCAAAGATACTAAGGTATATCACAGTCATCTTAATTTTCATCAGGTTGGAAATTTTTTCCCTCGCTCTTTCAACTGAGATTCGTCAGGAAGCCGAATGGTTCATAACGTAAGGTGTTTTGGTGGCGACATAACGGTCAATGCCCTCTATGCCGCTCTGGCCTTGTGTACCCCTTCCTGACTGGGGTATTTGATGAACAAACTGTTCATTTTAACAGACGTCGTGGGGTCTTCACTCAACTGAGCGACGGGACCTTCTGAATCGAGTGGGGTCGTCTATAGTGTAATGTACAGCTTCCCTAACTAATGGGTCATCATGAGTTCAGCTTCAAATCTCTGCGGATGGCTTCATTCCGCACGAACCATGGAGCATTCACCAGCATCCTGAGAAGTGTCTTTTGCAACCCTTCCAAAATTGAGAGGTTTGACGGGGTGGTTTGTCCCCAAGCACCTGAAGCATACATGATGACAGGCTTGAACATCGTGTTGTATAGTAAAATCTCATTTTTAAGATTGAGTTTTGAATTTCTATTGTCCAGAGGTTAGAGTTTAGCTATCCTCATCTGCACTTTGCTATTGTTATAATCAATGTGATTTATCCAGGTGAGTCGGCGGTCTACCCAAAGACCTAGGTACTTGACTCGCATTTGCCATTCGATCTCCCTGCCTGAAATCGTGACCCTTGCGTCTGGAGAAACTTCACGTCTCCCCAAGTCCAATGCGCGTTGCACGTAGA